TTTTTTTTTTTTTTAAGGTGGTTGTGACAGTTTTCTTTTTCTTAAATTTCAAAAATTGTAGTTTTTCCTTTATTTCTGTGTTCAAACAGTGGATCATCCACACCTTACAGATATGGTAACAGTCCCCCATGATTGTCCCCCACCCACACACCATACAGAGCTGGCTCCTAGAATGGATTCTAAAAAATATTTTAGATATTTAGAAACTGGAGAAAAATGTTTCGTGAGCTTTTTAGTCCAAAAAGGGATCATACAAATGCATTGCCCTCTAACGTTTTTCTTGTCATTATGTCTTCGAGAGGATTCTGTGTCACCCTGCCTCAGTCCTGGACAGCTGTGTGGTATTCTAGGGGCTGAATGAGCCACACTTTTTGTGCCTCCCCTTCCACCGATGGGTATTTGAGCTGTACAGATTCTTTTTTTTTTGCCAGTGTTCTGTGTTTCTTCACCTCTGCCTTCCCAGGCCCCTGTGCTAAGATCTCTAGAGAGCAGTGGTAGAAATTGACATTTGCTTGAGGCCTTGGTTTAGGGTGTGGCATTGACCTGTCTTCAGGGGGGGCAGGGGCCTGCAGAACAGGGAGAAGAGGAGGGGAGGGGTGCCGTTGGCAGGAGCATGCTAGGTTCAGGCGCCAGGGGCAAGGCTGGAGAGGAGGTACATTCTGGTTGGCTTTTCGGGGCTAGGTTCTGGACGAGGCTCTAGGGAGGCAGGACACATGGTAGATAGGAACGTGGGCTCAGTGCCAGCCTGTTAGGACTCATCCTGGCCCTGCCTCTCACTGTCTGTGCAACCTTTCCGAGGTACAGTTTCCTCGGGCAGTGGAAGTCATCATGGCCTCTGCTTGCAAGGTCCAGGCAGAAGCTTTGATGACCGAATGCAGGCAAAGCAATGATTTAGCAGTACCCATTACACAAGAGGCACTCAGCATGTGTGAGTGCTTCTGTCCCTGGGACACCTGAGGGAACCTGTGAATGTGCAGTCAGAGGGAGGGTCTGTGTGGAGGTTCATATAATAAACAGTAGTTGATGCCAGGCACTGCATCCAGTGATTATTTAGGCCCAGTGCCTGCCTCCGAGGGGGCCCTGCCCTCCAGGTGAGACAAACACATCTGCAGAAATTTGTATTGAGAGATAATGTGGGGAAAGATCGGGTATGAGGCACTTCAGTGGGCGAAGGGACCCGGTCTATTGCAGGATCAGAAAGTGATGGGGAAGGTGCCTGCCCCCGGAGGTGGAAGGAATTGGTGTGAAGAGTAGGAGGGAGGGAGGTGAGGGCACTCCCGGGAAGGAACCAGTATGGGCTAAGGCTTAGAGACCTGTCTCAGCAGAAGTGCAGGTGGAGAAGTGGCAGAGGTGGACACTAGGGTAGAGAGGGACAGATGGAGGTGGGGAGATGGCTGAGTGGTCCACATGGGAGGAGATAGTGGCTGTGGTGATGGGCTTTCTTGGCAACTGCATGTGATGAGGGCATGGCTGCCGAAGGTTCTAACTGGGGTTATGTGTGAAGGAGGGGTATGGCTGGTTTGGGTCAGGCTGCACTTGAGAGGCCTGTGAGACTCCATCCTCCAGTGTGGGTGACTAACCCGTGGGGTGTTCTGGGTGGAGATCCTGGCTCAGCCGCTTCTGGGCAGTATGACAATTTGCCTCTCTGAGCTTCAGTTACGTTATCTGTAAAATGGGGCCATTATTGTGCTGCTAGTCCCACAAGACGGACTGAACATGCAGAGCATGTGTGAGCACCAGCTGCCGCCATGTTCAAACAAAAACCAGAGAGAGGAGGCAACTCGCCCAAGGGACCTATATCCTAATGGCATAAAACAACAAACAACTAATACAATACCGCATGTGAGCTATACTAGAATTGAAATTAAAAGCTTAATTAAAAAAAAAAAAA